TCCCCCACTCCAAGACAAAAACAACATTGGGGAGGAAAACTAGCAAGCACATGTTCTAAGGTTACCGGTTTCATTGACACAAAGGGGCATCTCAACAAGCGAAACGTGAGGTGTCTTTAATTATTTGATAACCTTGCTTATGTTGGAAATTCCCCGATTCGCAGTTTTTTGGAATAAACGTCTAAGCTAAATACACATGCAACATCATGCAACTGGCTTGGAACAGCCATGCTTCACTGGAACTAGTGACCCCGAGCAGGATATTCCAGGATTATGTTCCCATTGAACTTTGGGGCTTCCATTTGCGGGCAACTGTGGAAAGAGCAACCGACATGGCGAGGCAAGCAAAATATGCCCAATGACACATCTTCAAACCATTTATATAAGTTACCCTCTGGTAAATTAACATAGACCCTGGCAGATAGGGGTTGGAAGACTAGTTTCCATTAAAAATTGGTCATTTTCAGGGTCTATGTTTATTTACCAGAGGGTATATAAGTTCTTTGGGCCCAAACCAACCTCAAGTTATCCGATTCAAATGATTCAGCACATCCATGCGATTGAAAAAACAGGAGAACCAATGGAAAAACAGAGAACCTTTCCACCCAAACAACCCAAACTGATTGAAGATTCTGGCCACCGATCCCTGGCCACCAAGCATCTTTTTCGGCTTCACAGGTTCCGGATCCGTATCTTCACGGACCAGCCGGGTCCTGGGCGGCGCCGCCCTATCCCTGGCAACTTGGCTCGGTGCCATGGCTGCAAAATCCTCCACTTATGGTTGATGAATTTCCAGCTATGAACCTCCAGTTATAGAATTTGTCTGGGGATTTTCAAGGATTTTCCACGTTTGATTACTGGAGGGTACATGTGTAAGAACATCGTCAAATCTGAGCCCATGTTCATTTATCATGTTGCATTTCTCGGACACATTGAACTCCAAAATGTTTCAAACGCCCAAACAGAACTCGACCAACCGCAGGCTGCACAGTCTTTGCTGCATTGGTTCCCCCAATGTCGGCCATCGTCATTCAATTTTTTTGTTCAATCTACCGCCCCCACGCTGAATCTGAGATGCCCCTCAATCGATGTTAGAATATAGCAATAACCGGGAGAAAAAGAAGGCGCCCTAAACAACCATTTTCAAGCAGTTCAAGGCGACAATGTTGGGTTCTCAAGTGACATAAAAAGTGACCATTACCATTTGCCAAGTGAAGTCATCTCAAGCTAGGGAAGAAAAAATCCAACGGAAACAACGCTGTACCGGAATCGCCAGTGCCGAATAACCACCAATAACTGGGATTGGTACTGTAATGACGTGACAAATGTATGCAAATATGTACATACAATATATTACAATATCATATAATAATATATATAATTATATTATATGAGTATATATGACTAAGAAAACTCACTGAACCAAAGAACATAACTTGGGAGGCACCACCTTGTATCTTAAGAGTTGCTGCGGTTCACCCCGCCCTGAAACCCTTGGAAAGGGACACTTAGGGTCCTGGCTAAGAGTGAGAAAACATGCAAGGATGCTGGACATGATACTTCCCTGTATTTCCACCTTGATTGTGTCAAGGTTTACAACTTTTGGATTCATTTTGGAGTGGCTATGTCAGGCGGCTATGACCCCCCAAGTCTCTACAAGTTGCACCCACCCGGAACTTTGCCAGCAGGTTATCCCAAACAAATGGCTGCCAGTCATCTTTGACAATTAAGAATTCAAACCCACATGTTTCAGTGCTTGAACTGACCACTCATTTCTTGCTTACATTTGTTTATGTCACCATTTTGGTTGGTTACAATGCAGTTTGCTCTGGTTTGTTTCATCTTATCCAAAATGTTGCCGGTTTACCCACCAGGTTGGACCAACCCCCCACGGAAGATGTTGCCAATATGAAGGGATTCGTCTTGCTCGTACCTGGTGCATATCCCAAAACATCCCAGTGCTTCATGGTGGTGGTTCCTAGTTATGAATCGGTTTCAGCCAACTAGTTCGATATATCTACTGTATCATAAACCCATCACTTAATCTACTTAAACCGACTTAGGTCACAAATTCTGGTGCACCACCTTGATAAATTCCCATATCATAATGTGTGCTGGTTGAATTACCATGTCTGTCGGTAAAATTAAATTGGATTATATATATATATATATATATCTAAATGGACATACACACACACATATATATATATATATAAAACAAACATATGCATATATACATACGTATATAAATAAATATATATATATGTGGAATTATGTATGTATATACGTGTGCATATATATATATATAAACATAGATAGATAGATAGATAGATAGATAGATAGATAGATAGACAGATAGATAGATAGACAAACAGACAGACAGACAGACAGAACAATAGATAGATAGATAGATTAGATTAGATTAGACTAGATTGGATTAAGATTAAGATTAAGATTCAGATTAAGATTAAGATTAAGTTAAGATTAGATTAGATAGATAGATAGATAGTTAGATAGATAGATAGATGGATTAGATTGGATTAGATTGGATTAGATTGGATTAGATTAGATTGGATTAGATTGGATTAGGTTGGATTAGATTCGATTAGATTAAAGATAGATAGATAGATAGATAGATAAGATTAGATAAGATTAGATAAGATTAGATAAGATTAGATAAAAATAGATAAGGTTAGATACAATTAGATAAGATTAGATAAGATTAGATAAGATTAGATAAGATTAGATAAGATTAGATTAGATTAGATTAGATAGATAGATAGATAGACAGATAGACAGATAGACAGATAGACAGATAGATCGATAGATAGCTAGCTAGCTAGATAGATAGATAGATAGAGAGATAGAGAGATAGCTAGCTAGCTAGCTAGATAGATAGATAGATAGATAGAGAGATAGAGAGATAGAGAGATAGAGAGATAGATAGATAGATAGGTAGATAGATAGATAGGATAAGATAGATAGGATAAGATAGATAGGATAAGATAGATAGGAGAAGATAGATAGGAGAAGATAGATAGGAGAAGATAGATAGGATAAGATAGATAGGATAAGATAGATAGGATAAGATAGATAAGATAAGATAGATAGGATAAGATAGATAGGATAAGATAGATAGGATAAGATAGATAGGATAAGATAGATAGGATAAGATAGATAGGATAAGATAGATAGGAAAAGATAGATAGATAGATAGATAGAGAGATAGAGAGATAGATAGATAGATAGGTAGGTAGGTAGGTAGGTAGATAGATACACGCACACATATATATATATATACAAGTAAACATATATATATATTTAATAGTATAAACCACCATTGTTGTTGGTTAAATCCCATCAGAATCATATGAGTTTTTTTACTGCCTCACCACTTCAGCGGCTCGCGCCGAGCGGCACCAGGGCGGTCGCAGAACTACTCCGCTTGGGCGGCTCGTCCAGGCTCATGAGGTTCACTTCATGCTCCGGGGGCGAATGAGGCACATCCTGGGGCGGGGAAGGGAACACTTGCAGGAAACCCCCTGTGGTAAACCGTGGTAAGCCCTGGCAGCCATAAACCATCCCCTAACCTTTGTATGGGTTGTATGAACCATCCCATTTATGGTAGGTTTATGGTAGGTTTATGGCAGCCAGGGTGAATCCCACATCAAATTGGGTTCCAATATAACTGGAATTTAATGGGATCATCACTTAAACATGTCTGACTATGGTTACCAATAATGTTCACGGTTATTATGTAGTGTTGTTAATGGCTATCAATGGTTCTTAATGGCTACTAATGTATGATGTTTAACACTGTTTGACCGTTATTATTGACTGTTGATGGTTCTTGGTTGTTATTAATACAATTTAATCCGCAATAATATGCTCTCAGGTGGCTAAATCCGCTTGGTAATATAACATTTTGCCATGGAACATTAATAATAGGCAAATCATCCACAAATAAGTAATATTCCAGGGATAATTTAAAGTATAATTATCAATAAATGGGCAGCGAAAAATAGTCATGGTGGCTTTAACCACTAATCATGGGACACAAGACAAAGTTTTGACCAACCATGTGAGGCCCCCCCAATTATGTGTGTTCGCTTGGCTTATAAAGCCCTTATATAACTATAGTTATACCGCCCACGTTTAGCCTTAACGGTATCCGCTACTGTTTTTACGTGCGGCGCCAACGCTATCGTAGCGAACTCAGCAGTTGATCGACCAACAGAAACCCATCTGCTATAACTTATCCACGTTTTCCCATTATACTCCACAATATCCCATGGTTGAAATGTGCTCAAGATTGTCTTTTAAGAGTCTAGAATATGCTAAACAATAATACAGTATAGATTTCCAAATAATCGACGCAAGTAATTTTTATTTTGCCTTCAGCAAATCTAAGAATAATCCCAGAACCTTAATATACTAAGACCCACCGGAAAACATGGTTTAGTAGGTGATTTACATATGTTTGGGCATTTATATTTTTTTTTAATATAGATCCATTTAGAGTCTGTTTCATATGAGGGGATGGGATTAGTGAACACACATTAATGAAGAAACTGTAGAAGATACTTGACCCCCTAAATCATACGGATCCAAAGGGTAAGAATAAATGTTAGGCTTGCGAAATTCCAATGTGTTTCCCATCTTTTTCTATCTTTTCCTGTGATTTTCCCACGGTCATAGAGGGAATTCTCCCATCTTTTTTTCTCCCTTGAGGATCATCCCAGTGGTGAATAACATGTAAATAACTCAGTAACTCCGTTATTCCATGTTATTCCCCCAAAAAAAGATGGGTGAAATCAATGTCCCTTCATTCAATTTCATGAAATCCTGTTTATTTTCCTTGGATTTCACCATATTTCACCCCATGTTCCATGGTTTTTTCATGGTGAACCCGCCATTTTCCCATCCGTTCCTCCAGGGATGGCATGGCCCCCGGTAAGTTCTCCAAGTCAACCGAGCCGTCAAAGGAGCCGATCGACAGCTCACGGCCCAACCTGAATAACTCACCATTCAATGCACCACAATGGATGGGATTTCATATGATTTAACAAACTAACAAACTTATATAAGTAGATTTTTATTTTTTTAACCATATAGTGAATACATAGTGATTAGTGAATATGAGTGAATATTAGTGAATATAGAGTGAATACAAAGTGCATATTACATAATATTACTATATGGTAGATGTTTAACTAAAAATCATGGGATTTTTAGCTAACAGTCAACTGACTCAACTTGGTGATTCCACGGCCATTCATAAGGGGATGCTCCAGGGGATGGTGACGCCAGGGGATCCCCCATGACTTCAGAGTTTGCTGCAGATCACCAAAAACGCCCAGGCACTGCGAGCCCGATTCGTCCCTCGACTCTAGAGCCAGGTCGGCCTGGAAACCCCGAGAAGAACATGTGGAAATCACCTGATTTGAGTTGCCATATGAAGATGATTTCCCTACAGAAACTTGGGATTGAACATGATTTAATCAACAGAAACGGGGATATATGTTATGGTGATTTCACTACAGAAACTTGGATTTTAACCTGATTTTACCAACAAAAACGGGGATCTGGTCATCTGGAAAAGAATTTTTGGATTTTTAATGGGAGTATATAGGACAAAACATAATAAAACCAACATGAATGAGGATATGATATGGGGCATGGTCATCCCACCATCATGAACAAATCCTAAGAACCTGCTTGGGTGGATGCTAAGAACTTACCAGCTGAGCTGATCTGAAACTTGGTTTAATATAAGAATGTTTAAAAATGTGTAAGGGCTATTTGATAGGAAACACTCAAGCAAACTCAAGCATCAAAAGAAAAACTGGTTTCCTGTCAATATGTCCCAAGCCAGTGAGCCCAACATTCAATAGACAAACAAATCTTAACAAATCTACATTTTCATGGGTAACTGGGTAAGTCCCCTGTGTTGACACCTTCTGAATCGTTCAACGAGCAAATTTTGGCCAGGTAAATCCCGATTCTCAGCTCAGTGTTCTCAGTTCTTGGGGTGGTTGATGGTGGTTGGCATCCCAATCTTCTGGGTAAATTACAAGATTTCACTCACCTGAAATGTTTGGCTATACAATATAGTATAGCCCTTGACAGTTGTAAATGGATTATTTCATGATAATCATGATATATATATATATATAGCCAACTAGTTGTAGGAATTAGTTCATCCCTTTTGAGGCCCTGTTAAGGGCTATTGTATAACTGTATTAATATTGGGCCCCCTAGATAGCTAAGTTGATTTATAACTTTTAAATAGCTCCAATAATGGTTTATGATACTTGTAACTATTATTTAAAAAACATTGGGTTTTAATAAACCAACTTATAGCATCAGTGGGTTTATAAACCATTGTTTTTTTTTACATAAACACCAATTTGTAAAAAAAACATAAACCCCGATTATGTTTATAAACCAACTTATAAGATCTTATAACTAGGGTGCCCCACAGCCAGGACGATTTCCAGCCAAGACACCACATCGGGGTGGTCGTCTTGGCTCGACGCTGTTCATTACGCTGTTCAGCACCTGAAAAAGGATAAGTTTAGGCTGCTAGGTATCCATCCATATATATATATATATCTGGGTGTGCGCATGTATATGATATGTAATTATATATATTGATCATATACAGTATATATACATATTTATTTACAGTATATTCAATATATTCAATTTATTTATGTATGCAATTGGGCAGGTTTCCGAATTGCGAGTTGGTTTCACCATGTTTTACTCCGGACGATTTTCCGCCTGCGTCAGGGGCCGGATCTCCTGCTCCACATCGGAGTCCTCCTGGGCCTAACGAAAATTCGGAGCTCGGCGGAAGAACTGGGAATTGTAGACGGAAAATCACCATTTTGATAGGTAAATCGTAAATCATGTATGAATTGAATGATCCATTTTCATCCATGTTCTATGTGACAATGTGGCTATGTGAATCTACCAGAGCCTAAAAACTGGGATTCCAACGTAAAGTTTCGCCAGAAAAATGATGATTTCAAGCGCAACAAACGGGGATTTCACCGCAAAAATGGGACGTGTGGGGTGGGGTTCCATCCATTCAGGTTTTTGCAGACTACCATTGTTTTATTAGCATCATTGTCCCGCATCCCAACTTGCCAGTCATGAAGGATGTCCCCTAAAACATAGTTTAACTAATCTCAAATCATTCCGAGACCATCTTGAGACCATCTTGAGACAGCGATATACCAACACTAATCCAAAACATCCCAAACACATCCGAACTCATCCCAGATTCTCCAAAATCATCTTCAAAATTCCTGAAACGTCCTAAAACCATCTCAACAGCATCCGAAATAATCATCCTACGCACATATCCGAAAATCATCCGAAAAACAAACCAAATAATTCATCAAAAACATAATCTGAACATCATCCCAAGAATGACCACAATAAACCATCTGATTTCCAGGCAAATTCTGAAAGCATCTCCCATCAAAATCTTCTCCACTCACATATCCAAACTTATTCCAAACAGTCCCTCTCAACAAAATCATCTCCTGACCTTGCTCAAAAAAATATCTCCCAGAAATCTTGCCCAAACATGTTCTCTCCTATCCACGTGTTTCCCTACCATTTAAATTTTCAACAGATTCCAATTAACCCTCTCAAGTTAAATCAACACCCAGATTCATCCCCCCAAAAAATATTCCCCGATCTCTTGAAGCATATCTTGGTGGTTGACGGAAAATTGTTCAGTGAGATATGTTCTACAAAACCCAAATACTGTATATCATCCATATCTAATCCAAAATTAGAGAGTATATATATATATAAAAATCTAAATCTCTATCCTCCCTGGTAATTTAACACAGCTCTTGAAAATTGCCCATTTACAGTTGATTTACCTATGTCAAATCATAGCAAACTCTTAGTTTACCAGAGGGTACCAACCCAAGCCATCCAAAGAAGATTCGAACTTTGATTGTCCCAACACCTCCCAGTTGGGTGACCATCCCACTGTTTTTTCGGCTTTAAGGGGACGAATCTTTGCCAAGAACCAACGAGATTTTTGCCTGTGGAAAAACATTGTCCATTAATTTTTGTATCATTATCATTCATTATTCATGGATAAATGGAGAACAATAACTAAGTCGTTTTTATCTTGGTAATGATAAGTTTTTCTAAAAACTTAGTTATCCATTTATCCATTTATAAATTAGTTCTTATCATTATTCATTATCTGGGTCAACTAAGTTTTCACCTGAGGGTTGAATCCCCATCAGCATCTGCCAAGCTTCGGATTTCTCGTCCCTCTTCTCCTCCGGGCTCAGCATACTCACTGGCAGCGAGGCGAGCGCAGCACCCTCTAACGCTGACCCTTCCAGCTCCGATTCCTGTGTGCCATGTCCATGGCCACTGGACAGGATCGCCTTGGAAGCGTGGCATGACATGGGGAAGTGGAAAGAAATAACATCCACAAATGGCTACCCTGTGGTAAACTAACGTTGATCTGGAAAATCAACATTTTAGCAGGTAATGCATCCATAAATGGGCCATGTTCCACATCTATGTCCCCAGGATTGTTGTTGAATGGGGTCTTGAAGGGGACTTGCAGGGCCTGGAAAGTCATAGAGCTGAACAAACTGTTGAAATCATGAGTCAGTGTGTCCCGCACATCTGTAAAGGTTTCCTGCAAAATTCCAGAAAACATGGAATTTTCAGTTGAGTATATAGTTACTATAGTTGAATACGGGGAAACCCTTGGAAACCGTTGGAATCGTTCTCTACGTTTCTCTTTGAAAAATGGTCTCTCCATGGTGAGTCGACCGACCAATGCAGTGGAACATCCATGGTTGATGGTTTTGACCAGTAGCCTGTGTATGTAACTTAAAACTTTTAAAACCCAAATAATTCCAAATGATCCATGTTTAAGATATGTTCACCATTGTTCACCCATGAAATGGAAGGCTAAGACTCGAACAAAGATCATTTAGGTTCCGGGCATACATGCAGTAATTACATACAATCACATTGTACACACACACACAATCACGCACATGCATGTGCATACATACATTATAATATGTATAATATACTATAATATGACTATGTAACACAAACACAATAACCACGAGGTGGTGCCCCCAAGAAATCTTTGCTGGTTTAATAATAATCCCCATGAACTGTAGATGTATCTCTTAGCGATCATCTTTTACGGTCCACCGTAAGTGAGTTTCTGCGGTAACCTGGTAGCTACCAGTCCCTACAAGGTGGTGGCCCCATAGTTAGCGAAGTTGCTTTATACCCTCTGGTTATTGAACATAGCCATGGTATAGATGGCCCATTTATAGATGGTTTACCTATTAAAAATTGTGATTTTCCATGGCTATGTTAAATAACCAGATGGTAATTCCAATCGCAGTGGTTTATGATACATCAAACTGCTTTTTTTGGGGGTTATGAACCAACAAACACAACTGGGGGGCAGTACCTTGCTTTCGAGTTCTGTTTTATTGTAATTCTGAAATGTCAACTGCATATGAATTCCAATGAATTACCTTAAAAATATCTAAAATGTACTCGGTTACTCTGTTATACTCTGTTGTTATCTATGAATTTCCCCTGAATATTAGCCGCGGCCACAACATCTTCCCACGTGGTGGTAGGCACTGGCATGACCCGGACGCCGCGCGAGCGGGAGCGCCGCCGTTTTTGGCTCAAGAGCTTCCGCTGCAAATAGGTGACCTGTGCCGGCCACCACCCGCAGCGGCGAGTCCGCGGTTGGGTCGTTAAGGGTGACGTCACCAAAAATGTTGCGAGAAGTGGGAGTTTTATCATGGGACATCATGGAGTATAAGTCTGGAAATATAGTCGGATATAGTCGGATATATTGAGATATGAGATACAATAGGATACAATAATGATACAATGGGATCTCATGGGTACCCTCCGGTGTCCGAAAAAAAACATCGCTGGGACATCCACGAACTCCATGGGTAAATTCTACCAAGGTGCACTGGCAGTGCTACATCAGATCTGCGTTCTCTTCCCACCAAGGTGCGTCCTCTTACCATTCATCTTAACCTCTGGTAAACGTAGCCACATAACTATGGAAAGATCCACCATGATCCACCATTTTCAATGGGTAAATCAACTATTTCGACTGGGCCATGGCTTCTATGTCGCAACCTGTGAATGTTTACCTCATCTTACCTGTAGAAGTTAACTCCGGTTTCCACTCCTGGGATCCCATCAAGATCAGGTGAGCCTTATCGAGGTGAGCCTTCAGCTGTTTGTAGGCCTCTTGCTGTGCTGGTCGCGTCTCCGCATAGCTACAACACATCCTGATTCGCTCTGGAGGTTCACATTTGGACACCAGAAAAAAACGAACTTTTCTTAGACCAATGATAAATAGATCGACAACATCCAGGGGCTTCTGCGGAGTTTTCATGTTTAATGGGAAGCAGCAGGGGTTTGATGTTTAATGTTCCAACATGATGCCACACAGCTGAATGTCTGAATCACTCTGGTATAGAAAAGAGATCTCATGTCCATAAGCCTGAAAATTCTGAGTCCATGTCTGGAAAAGCACATTCTGCAAATTAAATATAATATATATATATTATGTAAATAATATATATATAACATACTATATATTGCATGTATAGCTTTGAAAACAAGCCATGAACCGCCCTTTTTTCCTTTTACCCAGTAGTCAGACAAATCCTCACCCTGTGGAAGCTCAACTGTGAGTGATATACAATACACTGAACATCTAGTCATGCTATATCTACTAATATAGAGCTATCTATCTATCTATCCATCCATCCATCCATCTATCTATCTAGTTATCCATATATATATATATAGAGAGAGAGAGAGTGCGTATAGAATGCAGCCCTTTTTACATTTTTTCAATATATATCTGGATGATGTTCATGGTCAAACAAAATGCCGAGACCCTCCGCAAAACTGGTAAAGTACCAAAACAGTCCAAAACATTCGGGTACCACACTCCATTTTGTGGGGGGCAAAGTCAGGGCTGCGCTTAGTAACCTCCTAAAAGCATCTAAAAGCATCTAAGAGCTATAGAGTATAGAGTAAGTAAAGTCCCACTAAAATAGTGGTAAACGACTTGTTTCTCCTTTTGGGCAATAAACGGCACGGCTTTCTCTTTCAGCCCAGCATCTGGAGAATTGAGGTGATATGGGCCATCGCCGAGATCTGGTGCGGCAACCTGACCAGCGTGGGAAACAGCCAGAAAAACCCGGGGATTCATTATGATTCAACACTTGATCAATCATGATCAATCACTAAGGTTCCAATTACACCTTCTGAGACTATATTTGGTGCTTTTTGGGCTTCAAATACCTTCTCAGCTGGCACTCTATGGAGCCCATCAGGGCATATTGGAGACAGTGAAAAGCAGCAAGGAACACCTGGGATATGCACCATTGTAGTCTCAAATCGTCCAGTTGGGCGCAAAACAAGGGCAACAAAAGCATCCAAACAAATGGCTAAAGAGACTAAAACATCGCCCAAACGATTTGCGATATAGGAGTAAAAACATGCGTGTAAAAAGGTTTGGTAGCCCCAAAACAAAAGTTTGTGGGTCGGGGTTCACCCACATGGGGTTAGCGTGTAAAAAGGAGTTGCTTGCAACACGCACCAGGGGTAGAACCAGAAACAATCCCAGCAAGATGGGCCACAAAAATTTGGATTTTGACCACCCAATCTTTTTATAAAGATAGAACTGGAGCATCAAGATTGAGGATAGTGGAGACTATGGCCTTCAGCCTGTGAGAATATTTAAAGAAACAACAGGTGGTTTCTGGAGACCAATCAAAACACATAAATTTCATCATTTTTCAAACGGGGCATCCAAGGAAACCAACAAAAACCTGGAAGATGCCCAGCTTGGACCTCGGTGAATCCCCCTTTTTTCTCAGCTTGTTTTTGGCCCAGGGATGCGAAAAAAAATTGGTTGACTTCTGCATCTCCAGCCCCCAAACAAATATAAATATATATATATATAACTAGTTGGCGGTTTCAAGCCCTGAAAGAGACGAAGGTCATAGTCATAGTTCAACCCCCAAAAAAAGATGTGAAGCACCAACTATCCCCACGATGTCACCACTATGTCACTATAAATGGGATCCCAAGGAACAGGTCCAAGCATAGAGCGAAACATGCGGTGGTCCCACATGTCTGCACATAGACGGTGACATCCTCGGATGTCGCTTCCAAGCGTCACAAGCTTCCAAGACTGGCTGGGAAAATCATCCAAATGATTCCAAATGTCAAGATGACAACTGGCTGGGGTGCAATTCTTCAACTTTTAAGGGATTGATATGATGGATTGGTGAGTCATGGTGAGTCCTGAGCACTGAAATTGTGAAGTGGGATGACCAAGATAGAGTGATTCCAATCACACAAACCGTTGAAGAGGAACTACTTGGAACAAGCTATCTGACATGATGCAAGCGACAGTCAAGATCCATGATACCCGCTCAGGGGCTGTAGTTGCGAACACACTTAGAAGGAACACGCATAAGACTGCAGGATTGCTAGAACATCAAACATCCTTTCTTGGGAACGCTAGAAATTGTGAAAAAACACGACTGTTTGATCATCTAGGTACAGAAAGCCACGGCAAGTTGTTTTATAACTATGTTGACAGTGGTTTGTGGCAGAAATATTCATAGTTTTATAAATAATATCAGATAATGATGGTCGGTTCTAAACCAACTTACAATGTTTAGCCGTTTAGCAGTTTAGCCCTTAGTGCAAAACTCTTGGGGTTTGGCCATATGTATATATATATATATATTTATTACTATATATTATTACCATAATATATATATATACATATCCATATATAGCCGCTTGATATGGATATGGCTATACAAACTGCACACAGCTCCCGCCGCTGCGTCCCTTTTTGTTGTCACCAAGGTGCCATGCTTTTGGCCGCAGCGTTTTTCACCACGACGACGAGCTGCGGCGTGAACAAGTTTTTTCGCTGTGAAAAAAATGGCTGGTTTTGCTACTGGAACTGGCCAGTTATCGATCCAATGTCCGTTGTGTAAAATTGCCAAATTTTGGAGTGTTGTGCCAAGAATTCAACTTGAAAAGGTGGTGTCCCAAGAGTTGATAGTCGGAGAGGAAGATCTTGTGACGGGCTGTCTTCGTTAAGTCTGGTCGGCTTTGATGCCAAGATATGCCAAGGCCGGGTCTAGAAATCACCCTCAGCACTGGAGCCGGAAAATCGCAGCACCAGAACGCAAGGTGAGGCTCCCCGCTTTTGTCCGTTGGTTTGTAAACCCATTACCCTCTGGTAATGACTGACATAGCTATGGAAAATGGCCCAGTCGAAATAGTTGAGTTTACCCATTAAAAATGCCGATTTTCCATAGTTATGTAAACGTTTACCAGAGGGTACCTCTATAGTTAGTTCATGTTATTTCCAGCGTAAACCCTGCCGAAAAGTCTGAAGAGTTCCGACTTCTTTGGATTTTGGCCATGTAGCCGATGGGGGGAACTATGCATCAACTAGATCAGAATGGGTCGCAGCCATGTCAGGAAAATGGCAGTGCATATATATATATATGTTTATCTATCTATCTATCTATCTATCTATCTATCTATCTATCTCTATATATCTCTATATATCTCTATCTCTATATATCTATATATATATCTATATATCTATATATATCTATATATCTATATATCTATATATATATATCTATATATCTATATATCTCTATCTATCTATATATATATATATATCTATCTATATATATATATCTATATATCTATATATCTCTATATATCTATATATCTATATATCTATATCTATATATCTATATCTATATATCTATGTATCTATATCTATATATCTATATATCTATATCTATATATCTATACCTATATCTATATATCTATATATCTATATATCTATATATCTATATATCTATATCCATCCATCCATCCATCCATCCATCCATCTATCTATCTCTCAGTATGATTATATATCAATCTGTGCATTCTTTTTGGTGATCTCGTTTTGCAACATTCCACTCCCACTTTCGGATGGAGATGTCCATTGCCAAATTTATGCTAGTTCATGGTGTCAGCCCAGGGGAAAAAAAAAACATTTTGTTTTAGGATCAAGTAGCATGGAACATGGCTGAAAACCACCAAGCCATAAATATTTGGCAAACGGAAGGGCAAAAAAAGGCAAACAAAAATCTGCTACTCCGGCTCACCACCCTCCGACCCCAAAAATCTCGTCCTGTGCGAGTTGACTTTCCATGAGCATCGTCCAAAGATCTTCATATCTTTGGATCTCACCACAGACCGGCGCTGTCGCATCAACTGGCCGTGGCATGCTGTGGCTGTCCCATAGAGCTTGCATGGATTAAGCAATGATCATCCATAATGTATGAAGGGTAGCATATGATATCATATAACAATATATCATGATCAACAGTTATCAAGCACTGGCGTTGTTTGAACCAATCCCGGGCCATGGATAGCAACTGGGGCGTCTGCCACCCTGAACCCCCCAAGGCGCCAAGCGATATTTTTAGCCATCATGAACTCCAAACATTGCCATATCCAAATTGTCCCAAAAATAATCATCATAAACATATCTAATAAACATGCATATAAATTTCTATAGAATCTATATCCCCCAAATAGATCCTCAATCAAACACCGTAACGGCCGCCGCTGGCCGCAACTTCAGTTTCCGCCCTGGCCACCAGACTTTCTGCCCGCCTCTGCCTTCATCTTTCGGATGCCTGGGGTCTGCGGAGCATCACGGCTGTGGATGGGTGCGAAATCCGATAAACCACCAAAAGGATGGTTGAAACATGTTGGAACCCTATAAATACTGGGATAAACCACTGAATTATTTAAGGGATATGTGGGACCATTTCTCTCGGCCCCCAGGAACTCGCAGTGTCCACTGTGCGGTGAAAGGAAAAAAACGGGGAAGAAAGAAACACTGACATTTGCCGCTTCATGTGTACACTGTGACTGAACATTGATGCAAGTACTTGTCTGATCTCACATCCAATCTCTGCAACTCGACTCATTCCCAGGCGGAGGCACACTTCCGAATGATAATCATCGATATCTTCTTCACCTGCGACCAGTGCGATTCACCCATTGAAGGTTCAATATATTCCTCGCCAAGACCATCTGTTTGTGGAATCTGCAAAAATGCTTCCACTTCAGGATACTTCAGGTAGGATCAGCCAACAAAGCTACCATTTCCACCCATTTCCCATGTCAAAAATCATGTTCAAAAAGCCATGAGGGTTGCCTGCTAGCGGTGCAGCTTTCAAAAGCTATTTGCTTCTGAAATCCACCCCATGGGTGGATATGTTAGCTGTTTACACATGAGTGGCCAACACCCCCATTCAAAAAAACAAGTTTATACCAATAAAGTTGCACAACACCACAATCAATCATAGCATATCATAGCATTCCATGTGCAGGTATGGTATATTACATACTGTACCTCATATTAATGGGGCAAAGCTAGGGGCAAAATGTACATGGGTTTGTCTGCAAATTGAGTACCCCTGCATCTACTCGTTAATCATCATCGACCCTGTTAAAATTGCTATCTAGTTGGTGGGGTGCAACCGTACATCCAATTTTCAGACACACCCAAATAATCTCAAATATAAATCTTATAAACATTGTTGTTAAATTACATCCTATTTTACTTCCCAAAGTAAGCAGAAGAACATGAATAACGCTATACTTTACCCGCCATTTTTCTTGGTACCATCTGGTTATTTAACAGTTCGCCATGGAAAATCACCAGTTTTAATAGGTAAACCCAGGTAAACCATCTATTTCAATGGGCCATCTATATCATGGCTATGTTAGTCATAACCAGAGGGTAAATCTGCAGTACACCATGCCGCTGCCACGGTTTGAACGCGCCGACCTCGAGGCTCTCCCACCGAACTCATCCAGCGGCCCGCGAAGACCCCGTCGAAGAAGGCGGCAGTGTCATCATCTGCGTTCGCAGTGCCATGGTGTTTAATGGGATATTAATGGGATTTTATGGTGATTTAATGGGATTTATAGTGAGTTAATGGGATTTCATAGTGATTTAATGGGATATGAATGGGATATACCCTCTGGTAAACTAACAGTTTGCTATTGAAAATGACCATAGAAATAGTGGATTTTCCCATGAAAAATGGTGGATCTTTCCATAGCTATGTGGCTGTTTACCAGAGGGTAATGTGTTGGCAAAGCCAATATCATAAACCACCCAGATAGATTTTAGTCTGATGGGTTTATATCTCCCAGTAATGGGAGCTAACTATGTAAAACTGCGGATGGTTTGCCATTGCTTTACTAAAAGAATTCTTCGAAAAAGGGGGATGAGATGCACCAAATCCACCGACTTTCAAGAGTTGTTTGGACCCCGATCCTCTGGAGACAATCTTGGAGAAAACTCCGTGGTGGAGTTGGCTACTACTACTGCTACTGCTGCTACTACTGCTGCTGCTGCTACTACTACTACTGCTACTGCTGCTACTACTGCTGCTGCTGCTACTACTACTACTACTGCTACTCTTACTACTACTACTACTACTAGTAGTATGCCCCCAATTGTCCACTCGCACAGTTCTACCCTCCAGTATGGAAAATCATCATTCTTTGTAGGTAAATCCTCTATACATGGGCATGTTCAATAGCCATTTTAGTTTTACCTTAAAGGGTATCATAATGGTTTGGTGTTAAAAAATTGCACCAGACATTTTGAGTCAGGCCATGTGTACACAATTCTGATTGGCGGTGCCAGCCTCAGAAGGCCTCTATAGTCAATTGCTAAAACATCATCAGGGATGAAGAAAAATGGAACCGAGTGTGAGGACCATGAGGAACCCAGTCTGAGGAAAGGCATGTCTTCACATTGTTCAGGTGGGCTGAAAAAGGATTGGTGAAGTGCTCCGCAAGTTTGGAGTGGGGCTGAGCTAGCTTTGAAGACAGGAGAGTTCTGACTGGATCACCTTAAGATCCTTAACTTCATAAGTTCTTTGGGGAATAAACGTCAAGAGCAGTTTTGTACTTGTACATCCACCGTTTGATGTTTTGAAGCCTGAAAATATGAATCATTGGGAATAATATGGAGTAATCATCCCAAATATGGCTGAAACATACTGAAAGTTTACAAACACAATCCACCAACCAGTACAATGTGGTGCCCCTCAGTTATAAGTTGGTTTATAAACCCCATTAACTAGTTCGTTATATCTACCATAAACCATAAGTTATTGGAGTTATAAACCAACTTAGCTAACTATGGGGCACCACCTTGTACAGTCTCAACCAGTCCAGTGACTGTCTCCCAATGTGAGCCGCCCAAAAAATTGCCCGACCTCCGCCCGCATTGGGAAATTTCACGGATTTGATCATAATCCTCCGAGCCAGTGACATGACATGCACGACCATTCTGTTTGGCCCGAAGACTCCAAGAAAAGGAATGGAACATATGAAACATATGAAACAGAACAGACAAGCAAACCAACAGCAAGAAAGAAAGGGATATTTTATGTCTATGAAATATGCATAAAAGGCTGCAGGATGTATCATCCGTCTGAGGTGGCTCACGTAAGATCCATCATCTGCCAGACTCTAGACCTTTTTGACCAGGAGATGCGCCTGTAGCTGGTTGCCACTGGCCCCGGTTTTCGGAGGCAGCGCTGATCGACCAATGAATCAAGCACCGACCCGTTTTGGGTCGTTGCATCGGACCCCCCATCAGACACCAGACACACCACATGGACTTGCCAAAAAGTGATGTGCCATGACCCCAAAATCCAAAGGCGGTTTATCATCACTCTCAATATTCAATTGGCAATTGATGATATTGATTGCAATTCTTACATGCTATGGTATACATCCAGCTTCTACTAGAACCATATTAAACAACATCTGCACATTTTTCTGAAGAAAAATCCATCCGCTGCATCAGGCACCGTAGCCGCCGGTCACGGAGCCCGACATCATCCCTGGTTGCTTCGGCCGATTGCCAGCAGACGTGATCCGACACGTCGGCATGGCGGCCGTCAGCGCGGCCAGGGCGGCGTCGCTGATGGCGTTGTAGTCCTGGAGGCGGTGGTCCAAGAATCTGGGCAAATTACAATATTAATCAATATTCCACTGACCTAAGATAAGGCTAATATTGGGATAACTATCCCTACTAACCATCTATGGTGAAGCAGTGAGGTTGTTATGATATGTTATAATTTACCCAGAAAAATGTGTGATTCAAAGATATTCAAAGACTTGGAACAACCATGAACAACCAGCACGATGATGCCAACAATATAAAGCCCTTACGACTGCCGTGTGTACTCAATTGGCATTCTCCTACCAGCTGTGATGGAAGACAACAAACTCTACCCTCTGGTAAACTAACATAACTATGGAAAATCACCATTTTTAATGGGAAAACTCACTATAAATGGCCATTTTAAATAGCTATGTTAAATTACCAGAGGGTAACATCACTAGCTAAAGTGGAATCTGAGGACGTCAACCTTGCACCATTTCGGAATGCCAAAAAAATCGTCCCCTCTGGGGATGAAACCATGAGCAGAATCCCCACCAGCCTTCATCGAGATGCTGGAAATGTCTGTTCGGCATCTTCTTGGGACTTACGAGTACTCAACTTTTGAACGATGAATCTATAGTAGATGATAAGTATACACTAATAATAGAGATAGTATAGATGATAAGTATTCACTATTAATATCAAATTATTAATAGATGATAATTTAAGTATCCACTAATAATTGTGAATTAATATCATATACGGTACATATTTCAACACATTGTGGATGGAAAAACACACATTGTGGATGCCTGATTCATAATATAACCCATTATGCCCTCCAAATGTGCCCCGGTCCAGTTCCAAAGTTTGCAACTTTTCGTTCTCACAGAGGGCCTCCAACAAGGCCTCTGTCGGTCTCCGATTTCATGGCAATTTCAAGAGGGACCATGTGGATGTTATGGGGATGGCCTGGAACCCTGGCCAAAATTGGCCAAATGATATGGGTGTCTGAATGAAAATGAGCTATGTCCACAAAGCAGGAATGAAAACAACCATGTTCATAGACAGGTTGAATATAGGAAACTTATGATAAATTATCATGGTGTGGGAAACTCTACGTTCAAAGAAACCCAAATAGGACAATCGGATGGGGCCCAGTGCCAAACAACTCGGACGACCAACTGCCATGGCTTACTGTGGAAATTCATCATTTTCCGCATTGAATGACCATCTTGGAGTATCCCCCCAAGTTTGGAGGATGATTCATGCATTTTCCCCCTATATAAATACCTATACATAAATAATTACCCATTCACATATAAGAAAATATATACAACACACATCTGTATAACACTTGAGGCCGGGGGTGGATGACGAAAGCTAGCGGGGTAGGAGAAAGAAGGAAGGGAAGAGGTGAGTTGCGGAGGGACTGTCATCATCGTGTCGCGGCATTGTTCGTCCCAACGGGGA